CTTTGCCTAAGCAATAGTTTACCATATATTATAAAAAATAAGCAGTTGTATTTGGTTTTCAGTGTCAATAGAAGATTCAAATCTCTGTTACATGAAGTGGTAGAATTGAATACCTTGTGTGAAATATTTTTTTTTACATCAATGAGCTGGTTGGCAGCTGGAGTGGCAATACTAGTATATGTCAGTTGTTCTTAGCTTGAGAAGAAAACGTTTAGTACAAGTGTCATACAACTATTAGATTTGAAGTGTCTTCAGAATTTAATAATTGTTAATACTAGTTGTATGTTCACACTTTGCTATCAAAACCACCATTTCGACCACTCATGTGCCAGTGATCCGTGTTTGGGTGAGCGGTCGGCGTTTCAATGAGCGAGTAAAAGGGGGAAAAAAACGTGATTAAAATGCGGTCGGTTTCCGGTCGGACAAGACCGCATAGTCGGAAATTAAGCGATAAGCGATCGATGTAAAAGCGGAAGGTTGGGCGAAATGAGTACTGTATGACCATGTTTCTCAGACGAAGTCTCGACTGACAATAATGCTGACAATGGTAGATAAACAGCATTGTCTGCGACGGAAAGCTTATCACCCGTTATATCAGAATCGTCAACAGAGTATACAGACACTTATGTTATGTTATCATTTAAACCCTTCCAAAGATAAACATTATGCAAATATCCACGAAACGGCAGTTGTAGTCTTTTCTTCTAGCGTTTTAAAACACTACGTTATTTCGCAATTTCGATCTTTTGTAAACCTGGGATGATGTATCAAGGTCTAAAGTAACCGTTTTATCAATTTTTGAAAAATCAAGAAAAAAGTGAAAATTTCCCTTCTCGCTACCTTAATCAACAAAATAGTTACAATATTTGTCTATCAATAAATGACTCGTTAGAATTTGACAAAATAAATGTTAAATGATATATTTTAATGCATGGAATCATTGATAGTTACTGCTCGGTAAAATTATTGTCTTGAGTGGTGGAGTCGCTTCTTTGCTAGTGAACGTGTATGGTTGTTTGGAACCAAGCTTGTTGGATTAGCCATCACAGCCGTGCTAACCGTGAGTAAAGTAAGCAAATAACACCGAATAAACGGCAAGGTAAAGACTATGTCTAATTATAGTAAATACGTACTGCGTGCGTGACTCGAACCGGCGCTCGCGTACG